AGCAGTTGTCTGCACTTCTGCTGAGTCTGTGAGCTGAGAGAAATATGGATGGGATAGGAAACTCTCCAGCTTAACATGTAAACTAAACTCAGATGGGGAACAGGATGATATTTTCCCCACTGCTAAGGTAATTTATCACAGCCCCCTAAAGTGCTGTCTTGCAATATGAAAATTGCATATGGTGTTAAATTATTAAATCTCTGTTGGGAGCACAGTGTGTGAATTTTAAAATGTGCTGGTCAAGGAAAAAGTGATTAGGAAAAACTAAAATAAGAGGTAACAATGCAGTAAGGATGCATATGGAGAAAAGAAGTAAACTATGCCCCTTATTATAAGGTCATTATAACACATGTATCCAAAACATGCTACAGTATGAGGACAAGATGAGCAAATCTCCTTATTACATCTGTAATAACAATCTGTAAAAGTCTCTAAAATGCATGCAACTTTATAATCCTGTTGTATATTTTAATAATACAGTATTTAATGGACCCACAAAGAGGTTACTGACCTCTGTGACTTGTGACATGATTTGTGATGTGACATGTGAAACGTGACTTGAACCCACATGTAGAACTAAAATCATGTTGCCTTACAATTTTTAACAGGCTGAAATGTGTAATTCTGCAATGTCAGCTGAACCAAGTGGTCATTCCTTTGATGCAAACCAAAATGAAATGTTAGAGAAAAGTACACAGGAATGGAATGAACAACTAGAGAAGGAGTTTTTCAGTGGTAAGTGTGTGTCCTTGCTTTGTTCTGATATTATTGTTACCAGAAGTGACTGTGGTGACCTGTTTCAAAGAAGCTTCTGCAAAAGCATAGCCTGTAAAGATATGGCTCGTTGCTTTCTAGCATAGTGGCTACTTTTTGCTGGCTTCATCTGACAGCAGAATGTCTGCTCTGACGTTGACTTAAGATGTGTCACTGGCCACACTTCAGCGTGCATTTCATCTCATACAGATCCATTTTGGAAGAATCACACCTTGAAAGCATACATTTTTCTCTGCTGATTCTGACAGGAGCCTGCATTCCATCCTTTAGATGCAGACAGTTACATGAGAAGAATTTCATCCCAATTTCCTGCATGCACAATTTTGATAATGATGAATTACTGGGCCTGGTTTTATGAATTGTAAAGCCTCAGACCACAGCGAGAGGCATTATGGCATTCAGTTGGCTTTCTAGGAGCCCTTATAGCGCCAGTCAGAAGTACCTGGTTCTAATTTTTTTCTCACTGCTGGGAAGCAAGGCAAGGTCAGATGCACCTATGGGAGTACAGAAGTGTTCTTCCATAAACTTCCTCAGATCTATACAAAAAAATGTCCATGAATATTACTTTCTACTACCCAAAATTACAAGAGATCACAGATTGGAAGCATGATCGGGAAGCTGTGGGTAAGATGGCAGTGCTGGAAGAGGAGAGCCCTGCATGGTGGACAGTGGTTCTTCTGAAACTCATGTGCTTGTCACTGCTTTTGGGTGTCAGTCATAACTGTGCACACTTGCCCACTGACAGAGAAAAACTGTACACAGCTTGGTTGATGTCCTCCAAACGGAAGACGCGGAAACAACTCGACTCTTTTCTTGTTCTGAACTGGCTCTCTCCGGAGTCTCCTGTCTTGTGCTGAAGAGAAACTTAGAAAAATGGAAAATTTTAGCACCTTTGTATCACCTTTTATTCCAACTATACATATACCTAGCAATGCTTTCCTAATGATTCAGTACTATTAGCACAGATCTGTGATAACTGATCAGTCAGTCTTTTTATTTAAATGGATTAGGAAATGCTCTAACAAAGCAGCCATAGCCATTTGTGTTTGTATCTTATGGGTGCTATTTTCAACATACAAAAATAATACAATTAGCGAAGGCACAATTGCTTTTGCCAATAAAAATACTTTAAATACATTGCTGTCTCTTAGTCTTATGACTGAATAATTTGTTTGACTGAGCTGTATAATGTTTAATTCCAGCTCATGAGTCTGCCTATATATATAAATACAGATTTGTTGCTAGAATGACTCATAGGTTCCTTACTATTTTGTTACCCATTTTTATCCAGAAAATGATGTTTTCAGTGCTCATTTTAAAGTAATAAGCTACAATTTAGTGGAAAACTTCTTTTCTGAATGAAACAAACGGTGGACATGCCAGACTACTGAATATGCTTGTTTGATGGTTTCGTGTTTTCTCAGTTACATCATAACTGTGCTTTGTGAACACACAGAAAAGTCCACGTTTGCCTAGTGAATTCTTTCCAGGGATTTTTTGCTTATAAACTAAATTTGGAAAGTTTTCACAAGTACACATATATAGCACATGAGTAAGAATTCAGACTTCAAATTGTTTTGTTTTTCTTTTCAATAGCATAAAGACTAGCATTTACATAAAGAGCAGTTTTAAGATCAGTCATGGAGCAGCGCATTTTTTTGCTTGGAGTCATAATGGACAACCACTGAAAGGTCCTGTGGAGGAAGAACATGTGGTTTGGGAAGGGTTTTGAATGCTGAGAAGCTGACTCCTTTCAAAACCAGTTCTGATTATTAATGAAGTACATGTAACTTTTTAAAATAAATAGAAGATATTAAAGAAAATAAAACTAAGTATCTTTTTTTTTTTTCATGTGCAGTTCTAAATGACCTAGATGACCAGCTGGCCCAGGAACAAGCCCAAGAGCCATTGGACAGGACAGTTTCTACTAGCAGTGCATCTACTGTCCAATACAGTAGTGCATTCCCTACTTCAAAGAGGCAGACTGCTAGTAGAGGCCAACACAGAAATGACTGGAGTGACATGCCTAGCACATTTTTCCCAGATGGACTGAGAACAATAAGAGCCAAAGATGAACACAAGGTTTTCATCAGACCAAGGAAATTACACAGTGCATATATAAACTGGCACCAGACAGCCTTTCAAGAAGATTACAAATATGGCGATCCAGTTGATGGAAATGCTCATCTGCTAAGCAGCAGGCTCTCTTCCGTTTCATTCGGACGGTCTTCAGAAGGTAGCTTATATCCTCCTTCCATAACACACAACAGTGGATTTAGGCGCAAGAATTGTATGAACCGGGATACAGCTGGCAGAAGTTACTCTGTGTGTTCCCTTCGGAGATGTCCATCATCAGTATCTTCTGACCAGCTATCAGCATCTAGTTTACAACATCCGTTGGCAAGGGAGAGCAACAATGGTTTTGTACCAAGGTTTGGTCGGCAGAACCCAAAGAGAATTCCTCTGTCTTCTATTGTATGGAACAACACACCAGACTCTCCTGGACAAACATCAACTCAAGAAAAAATGTTTAGAACCCAATCACTGATGGAGTTTCATGCTACAGACCGTGGTAGATATCCTAGCTCTTTGCAAGAAACCAAGAAACATGCATGTTACCACTCAAAACACCACTACAGAAGATCTATTTCAAGCAGTAACTGCTTTAGTAGAGTTAGTTGCCCTGACAAAGCTACTTCTTCTTTGCCCTTTGATAACTGGGAAAATTATCCATTATGCAAATCGGAAAATAATCTCTCTAGATCCTACTGTAGAGATACTTCTCATGGCAAGTTGTATGCAAACCAAAAAAATTCTTCATATGGAAGAAAAGACAGCTGTCCTTCTTGGGCTGATATTGCTCAGTACTACAGTGATGAAATGTTTATTTCCCCTAACACCAGCTTTGAAGTGATTATGGCTAATTTAAATGACCAGCAGTGGGCGCATACAAAGAATGCCAAGTTTGGCTCACAGCGCCTGCAGAACGATTTTCACGTGTATTCTCCAGAAAATACGAGTGTCAAAGGGATAACGAGAGGTGCAAATAGAACTTTTTCAGAATGCACCAAGGGCTGTCAGCCTCGGCTAAGTTGTAACTCTTCAGTTTCTTCACCTAGTATCAGAACTGACGATTCAGTCTTTCCTAATTTGAAGGACCAAACAAAACCTATAGGACTGAACAGGAATTCAGTTGTCGTTACCCAAAGAAGTACTAAGGCAGACTTCACACAACTAGAAGAGGTTGAAGGTATGAAGCTGCCAGATGAAGACATGCCGTTAGAGCTGGTTTCTCAACAAGCAGATACAAACTACATCAACATTCAGAGTTTTCCCTCTAACAGCCCTGCTTCTGCCATGTTGCAAAGCAATGCATCTCTCTTTAACACAATGAGATCGAAGAGACAAACCCAAGTCACTGCCAGAGGAGATATTGCACAATTGTATACATCAAATGGTGATAAAAGAAATGCACAAATGAAGGAAAACAATTGCCCACCCAACAGTGTGTTCAGTCCACCTCTCTGTATTTTGCCAGCTGATAGGAGCAGGAAGAAACCTTTTCTTCCAAGTCAGAAAGAATGGGAACATAATCTGCATTATGCAGCAAAAAGAGAGCGCATCAAACAGGATAATCTGAGTGCAGAAGCCATTAACCAAGCTACTCCACAGAGACAGTCCTCATGGCTGAATGTTGCTTCTGCTCCATCCACTGAAAAATTAGCAAACGGTCAAGGCATGTTGTCCTGTCCATCTAGCTCCTCACAAAGCTCTCCACAAGCACTTTCTCATAAAGACAATTCTGAATGTTTAGGAACACTAACTAGCTCTTCAGTAAATTGCACAGTTACTGAATCTCAAGCAGAAGGTGGAAAAACAGCTCAAGTGAGCAGAATAGGTGTTACCCAAAAGATTTCACAGAAAACACTGCAAAATATAAGCACTTTAGTTACTAAGGACTGTAATGGACAATTCACTACTAGTTCTCCACAAAATGGAAATTCTGGAAATATTTCTATGCATAGCTGTGATGGAGACCCCAGTACCTCTGAACATAGTTTAAGTTATTTTTGCCTTGAAAAAGAAAGTGGAAAAATAAGGAGTAATTCACCTTGTATTGAAAGGCTTCACAAGCAAGACAGCTTGCTAAGACACACCAGTAGCTGCAGCATTACTGGCTCCTCTAGCAGAAACAGCCTCAAATCTCCTGATCCACTTGTTATTTATTACACTTTGCCTAGAAAATCAGCTAGCATCGCTGGTAGTATTATATCAGATACGCCCATCTCTTTACCTAGAGAAAGTAGAACAACATACGATTGTTTAAGGTCTGAAACTCCACATGGAGCTGATGCCTTTTGTTCTAATCAAAGAGATGTGTCTTATTTAGACTCAGAACATTCCTTTTTAACATCAGCATCATTAAATGCTGCTACAAGTAACAAACAAAAAGATTACCCCAGTCCTTTAACCAAAAGTCCTAATGATTCAGTAAGTAGTAGTACACCAGTTGAACTGACAGATAGGTATAAACATCTAAGCAGAAGAGAATCCTCTGTGTTTTCAGATGGAAAGGAGAGGGGAAATTTTTTGCAGAAATATAAAACTACAAGCACATTTACAGTTTGCGTGGATGAAGATCATGTCAAGTATCATGAACTAGTTTCAGTTTACTACACGTTACCACGGAGGCATTCAAGAACATTTTGTAACCTCTTTAGAGATAATCCAGAGGATGCAGATTTACCTTGTCCCAAAGACAATGCTCAATCACCAAGAATACGAAACAAGAAAAATGAAGGTCATGTGAGTTCAGCAAATCTTTTTTTCCCTAGTACTTTGGAAAAAGAGGTGCCTTCATATTCCTCTGACCAACTATCTTCAGCTGTGGTCACACCTCAGCACTTAGGAACTGCTGTTGGTAGTGAGGAAGAGAATTCCCACTTACCTCCTAGCTCTAACAAGATACGTACTTCAAAGTCGATGAATATGGTACGTAACAGGAAAGATAGTTCAGCTGATCTTTCATTAGCAGAAAATGTGCTTTCTGACACGGTGACAAAAGAAATTTCTTTTGCTGGTCCTCCACAATCCACTGTGATAGTGGCCAAGTCAGGTAAGGCCATTTCAGATGCTTCAAGCAGCCAAAATACAGAAATATGTCTAAGAGAAAAGAAGGAAATTTTACAAACAGCCACACCACTAATGCCCACTTCATCAACCCCTCCCAAGCCAGGCAGACGTTTAGAGAATCCTTTGTATTCTACTTCAACAAATAAAAACATTGTACAGAAGGGAAACTCTGAAAACCGCTGTGAGCCCCCTAAAGTGAGCACCAATAAAAATCTGAACAGTTTACTGTATAATAATAAATGTAGTGGACTGCAGTTAAGGGCTGACAGTTCAAGAAAAAATGCAAATAATTTAAACTCTCGTAGCAAAGTGCTTTCAGAGTCTCAGAACCTTTGTTCGGAGGTAAGCACAGCTTCCAGGGCTGATCCATCACTTCAGCTAGACAAAGCCGAAGTTCGAAAATTAAATTCAAGAATTAAAAAAGAGCAAAACTTACAGAGTACTCAGATGGGTAAAGATTATAGTGGTTTGCAGGAATCAGAGAGGCACAGTGAAGGCAGCCTGAACATTGACTGTAGAGATAAAGTCCTCAGGGTTACACAAGATCAGAAGATAACACAGAGTGCAGAAGATGAGAACAAGCTTCTCTCTGACTGCACAAGAGACAAAGTCAAAGATATAGAAAAAAGGAAAAATAGACCTTCAATTAAAAATAAACTGGCAGCTGTTTACAAAACAAGTAGAAAATTTTCAAGTAAAAATTTACCCCCCAAACCGCACATAAGTAACATTTTTTCACAGAACGATGGAAGTGCCACTTCTTTAGAGGTCAACATGTCCCTTGACTCACTGATTTCAATGGATTCCCGTCAGCCATTCCTGCAGTTGGACAACAAAAATCAGAATCACAGTCTGGACCCTGATAAGAATACGCCAAGAACAAGAACAGTGGAGAATAAGATGACTGAAAATCAGAATGATCCTTCTTTGCTTGTTAATAACACCAACTGGAGGTCTTTTCCAAGCTCATACACCCAGCAGGAACCCATCAGTCCCAAGAAAACTACAGTGAAGGTGGAAAATAGGCCAAGTCTTACAACGTTATTTCCAGATAAAGCAGTAACCACAAGAAATAAGAATTCCCAAATGCTTGATCTGAGGTTAGAAGGCACAAGCCAGCCCATCTCTCCAAGTGCTACTATGTCAGACCCACTGGATGATGAGAAAAGAAGAGCTAGCAGTCGTGCCTGCAATCCTCCCTTGCTGCTTTTAACTGACAAGAACTCAAACACATATGTAAATAGCTGCTTGCAGGCAGACATATGTCCAGAGCAAAACTTGACTTCCCAGACAGCGCTTGGTCAGTGTCAAAATACCTCTCAGTCTCCTAGGTTAAAAAATGCTAACTTGCATAGCTATCAGTTGCGTAAGAGTCATGCCAAAAGTCAGCGTGAGCGTCACCTTTCTGAAAGTATTTGTGCTCAAGATTCCCAGGAGACCTTTTCCTTGGGAAGCAATATTCTACCAAAATATGGTATACATGGGAAGAGATTTAAATCTTACTCAGAGCTGTTGTCTTGTGATGAAAATGAAAACTGGGCATCAGAGGATGAAAAATGTTACAGCACTAGAAATTTGATGTATCCTTCTGTTGAATTTGGCATTTTTGGCAAAGAACAACAGTTGGCTTTCCTGGAAAATATCAAGAGGTCACTTACAGAAGGGCGATTATGGAGACCTTGTCTTCTTAATAACCCTGGTGCCCTCAGAGATGGCGAGGCCCTTGCTATAAACAGGGCTGAGCTTTTGAGCTCAAGTTCTGCTGGGAGCAAAATGTCATCAGCTGCTTCATCCCCCCGAGAGCTGACTGATATCTATCGGGAAGACCCAGCAGCCTATTCAGACTCAGACAGTGATACCACCACTGATGACGAATACTACCTAGATGAGATAGATAAGGAATCAGAGCTATGAAGGGCCTGTGAAACTAAGATGGCATGATAGCTCGGTAGTTTCTGGGCAGGCAAAAACATGTAAAATACTTTGAGCCAGTTCTTGTGCTGCTATAGATTGGTACAACTTCATTAGTTTTGAAGAAGTTAGTATGTTATATTAGCCGAGCATTTGACTTTTGTATTAAATACGTGGCTTCACCACTGTTGTTTCTTTTTTTTGAGAATGTTAAAAAAATCCCTTCCCAAAATAATAGAAGGTAAACAACTGTGGAGCTTTGAGCAGTGTAACTCCAGAGATGGCTTTCCTCTGAGTCAGCAAGCAGTGGCTTAGGCTCCTGCCAGCTACTCAGTGCTGGAATGGATAAATTCTAGTTTGAGCTACTTTTTCTTACAAAACTTAACAGAAAACCAAGAGCTTACTTTGCTGATGAATTGCTGTTTCTCCAATTTTCCTCATTTACCAGATCAGGCATGATAATGCCAATCCATCCCATCCAACAAACACCCCCACAAACCAAAACCTGTTCAGTTTTTACAGCATATTCTGTATGAATATTCTTTTTCTGCATTCCTGGGAAGCATAGCAGCAACGTCCCCGGTGGCGTTTGTTTTGCCCTGCAGTTGAGGCAGATTCCTTGCTGGGTTTTTTTCTCCTCAGCATTGCAGGAGCAGTAAGCAATGTGAGTTACAGGAGTGCTGCTGGTGCACAGGAAGCAGCTCAGCAACAGGCACAGCACTGGAAAACTCACCGCAGCTTTCGCGGATGTTAAGAAACAAGGCTGAGCATGGGAGTCTGCTTTTCGGACATGGGGGATTCCTAAGTGGCACAGCTACAGTTGAGATGACCGGCCAGATTTCTGTCTTTGATTGAGGAACAGGTTAATTTGGCTTAATAATCCAACACTTTAAACCATGCAAAATGTAAAAAAGATTTACCCTATTTATTTCCTACATAAACCTCATAGGTTGAATCCTAAGTTCTCCCGCTGCCTCTGTGCTCGGCCGGTCTTGGCGTGAGGCACCTGCAGCCACTGGGCCCCTTTGGGCAGCACCCCCCGCAGCGACCCCAGAGGGCACTTGGCTGGTCACAACTGCACCGCACAGACCAGCAGGTATTTACATACAAAGTAAATAAAATCAGTGAGAAACATTCTTTGCCTTTTGCTAAATT